AAATAACCAGTACCGTATTTGGACTTAGAACGTAACGCTTTGCGAAATTCAATTTTCAGAGCACCACACAAAGACTGTGGAAATTTGGGACACTCATTGCGCATTAACCCTTTTTGGTAACGGTGAAACCGGAATCATTTCCTATCTCACATGCCCTTTACCCTATTACCTGAATATGGTTACAAAGAAATCTGGTTTTAAGGTTCATAAAAAAAAAATTAAGTGTGCTACTTGAAAGTAGGACAACCTCTTGGGCACACAATTTAAGTGATTGAGATGTCGATCGATAGGTTTGTGGTGTATAACCTTGTTGCATAATTGTTTCGTCAAAAAACGTTCGTTATTATTAGAATATATCCGCTCGAATGAGGGTTTCGGATTTTCTAATCTTGGAGGTGGGAGGGCATTCATTGTTTCGTAGAAATGGGATCTCATTGAAGGATGTAATTTTTAAAGGAGTCATTTTATTTATTTGTTCTCTTTTAAAGATACATACGAGGAGGACCCTTACTTGTCGACGTAGACCTGACCTTCCCTAATGGGTGATGAGTGTCGGTCTCTGGTGTAGAAATCGTTCGTTAATGACGAATTGTCAAATGGAACAGTTTTCAAAGAGAAAATAAAAAAAACATTTTGGAACTTTACTTTTTTTTTTTTCAGAGATTTTATCAGATATTTATAAACATAAAAGTACAAAGTTTAGAGAAATAGAGTCAACTATCAACAAAAGGTTTGAGTGAACTATACAATAAAAATTATTCCTCGAATTGAAGTGATCAAAAGGAAAAATCTCCCTCGTGAAACTATGCATAATCTTTGAAAATGAAAGATGTAAACTTCGGAAAAAAAATCATCGGCCTCTATTCGAGACGTCGAGTGTTGTTGAGGAAATATTTTAGGGAATTTTCTCTTTCTCGCGTTCGAAAGAAAACCAAATGATCAATCCACGAAGTGATCTTTCATAAGTTTTTTCAAATGCTTAAATCTTTTTGAAAATGTTCTTCCCATATAAATCTGCTACAACTGCTAAAATGATAGTGGACGATTGAATTATGGCATCGACCAATTCATGTTCTCAACTAAATAAGCAAATCACCAATACGAAGAGATCTTAAAAAAGATGATGTTAAGGGTAAAGTAAAATGTGTGTGATTCGGGTGTCGGGTGGTGGTTGATGAGGGAGATAGTCAAAGGGAACCTATCCAACTACCGTTTCGTTAGTCACCGGTAGAGCACATCTCGAGGAAAATTTCTAAATGAAATATTTTTTTTTTTAGGAGATTCTATATATGTGTATATATATATATCAATGTTTTTGAAAAATAGTTTGGATAAAGAGAAGAAGGGTAATTATGAGCGGGGAAGGGAAGAAAGAAAAGGGGATATATATAGATATAGATATAGATATATATAAACGCACACATGTGGAAAAGTTTATGACAAACTTTCCCTCGTATATTGCGTATATATATATATATAAACATATGCATATATAATTTTTTTTACGTTAAATAATAATGGTATTAGGAGAGTAAAAAGAAATCTACTTTTGATGTCCAAAGTCCAACTACGTAAAATAAATAAAATGTGTGCATGTATATATTAAGGATGAGTGACAAGGAAAAAAAACGACGATTACCCGTTAATAATAATAATAATAAGCAACATAAAGCCCAAAATATTACAGAGAAAAGATTAAAGGTTTAAAGTATTGAAGAAACTTTAAGAAAAATGTGATATTATTACGTTGGAAGGAAGCACACTTGAACGCTGAGGATTTGGTTGGAGTGAAAATATTGGTGGCAGACATTTCCATTACTAACTTTTTGCGTCTTGTGGGACAACATCAGGGATCATTTGTAAGAAGAATCTTAATGAAATCTCTCACAAGGTAAAGATTTATGTTTAATGTTCAACATTTAAATCACCTTGTCTCGTTGGTTGGTTGAACGTGTGACAACATGTCTGCGTTCCAACCACCAAGTCATTCCTGTCGATGGACTAGGGAGGTCGTAGGGGGCAGGGTGGAATGTGCAAGGTATGCTTTCAGCATGATTTCCAAGACGACAAAAAGTTTAAGGATTATCGTGAGAGAAGAAGAATTGTGATAAGAATAAGAAAAGGAAATAAAAGGCAAGAATTAAGGTAATAGCGATAAGGTATATGAGTGTCAACATAATATTATCCATCCACAAAATCGAGAGTTCTTCGTGTACTATCCGGGCACTAGGTACAATTTTCGAGGCATCACCGAACACCCTCCTTAGAGTCAATCATCCATTAATGTAGACATCAACACATTTCAACGACGAACCAGGATTCATTTCCAATGAATTTTTGAGATGTCTTTTTTATCAGACTTGGTTCATCGCGGGCCTATAATGGTTGGGGAGCATCGAGAACTCTTTTGATTTTTGATACGAGGGAGTTCGAGACTTCAGTGAAATGCGAACCGGTGATTCA